CGCTGAGCCCTGTGTGGCCTTGAGCAAGCTGCAGAGTCCCAGGGCAACCCAGAAGAAGGGAATGGTAAATCAATTCCGAGTCCTCTCCACCTAGAAAACCTTGAAAAAGGGTCACCCTAAGTCAGAATTGACCTGACAGCACACAATAATAATGATTAAAAGTATTATTGTAGAATTCATTAATCGCTTTTTGGTTATTATTGTATTATTTGTCTTTTTGGAATGGGTTGTTTTCATTTTGTGAACCACCTTGGGCCCCTCATCAGGAGAAAAGTGGCCGAGAAATGAAACCAAATAAATAAATAAAAAAATTTTAAAAATAGGAAGAAAATTCAAGGTATGCATTGCTGGAGTAAGAGACAGTTCGGTTTTCTTGTGTGTGGTAGCTTGAAAACATCTTTCTCTTAATATCCCTCAGGGTTTCCACGTAAGGAATTCAGAGAATAACTGGCAGCACTCTTTTCTCCTTCAGATTTTGATGAAAAGTTTTACTTGGAGACTCCGTTCCATACCAACTGCACAGCTAAGATATGATCAACTAACTCATGACCAAACTATACAAGACACGGAAAAGGACAGTTGATTTTTCCTACTGCAAGCTTTTTGCAGGTTAATGAGTTGCAAGTGAACTTGCTTTTGTCTGGCAATTGGTCATCAGGAGACCCACACAGATGCAGAAGCTTTGAAGGCATGGGTCTCTGGAGGGACAATGTCTTATCACTTTCTCGTTGCAAAGCTAGCATCTGATTTAGTTCTGTGCATGCTTTTACCCAGCACATGCTGGACGTATGGAGAGGAGGAGAAAACTAAGGCATACAGTGGCTCCCTTTTCTTTTTTCCCCGAATACCACCTCATTTCAAAAGTGTGCTGTTTGAGAAAGTTAGTTGTATTTAGAGTCTTACTTTATGAATTGCTGATATTTACCTTTGGGAATCACCTGCTTATTAAGGTAGGATTTTTTAAAAATAAACTTTGACCAGTCTTCTCCTTGGGAGCACTGAAGGAAGCTCTTTTCTATCAAAGAGCAAGGAATTCCCCCTTATTTGCTGTTTAAATCTGGGCTTCCAAATCATCCACAATTTCCCACTGCCTAAAAGTTGTAGTCCTCAAAACTGGCAGGTCTAAACTACATGGGGTTCTGGTGCTGCTAATTTTAAAAGTCTGGATCAGTGGTTCTTATGGTTGTGAATGTTGGGTTACTCAGGTGTTTTTGGACTGCACCTCCCAGAAGCCTTCACCACCAGCCGTGCTGGCTGGGGTTTCTGGGAGTTGCAGTTTAAAAACACCTGAGTAACCCAAGGTTAAGAACCACTGGTCTGGATGACAAAGCAATAAGCAGAGGCAGGAGGAAAGCACCCATTTTACCAGAAACTTTATCATGAAAAGAATCTGGTGCTGCTAATTTTAAAAGTCTGGATGACAGAGCAATAAGCAGAGGTAGGAGGAAAGCACCTGTTTTACCAAAAACTCTGCCATAGCTAAATGCTATTCCGAGAACAGATGGCACAAAAGCTTTCATTCATTTATTGAGACTATGCAGACATTTTAGCACCTTTGCAGTACAGTAAATAAGATTATCTATATGCTCCCCTGGAGGATATGAGTAATGTCTTTAAGAGTTTCATATTAAGATACTGGACCTGAAACATAGACTCCCTGGAAAAGACACTGATGTTAGGAAAGTGTGAAGGCAAGAGGAGAAGGGGACGACAGAGGACGAGATGGTTGGGCAGTGTCTGCGAAGCAACCAACATGAAACTGACACAACTCCGGGAGGCAGTGGAAGATAGGAGAGCCTGGCATGCTCTGGTCCATGGGGGTCACGAAGAGTCAGACATGATTTAATGACTAAACGACAACAACAACAAAATTCTGAGAATAGGAAGGTCAAAAACTTTCATTTATTTTTCGAGACCATGCAAACATTGTAGCACATTTGCAGTATATTAAATAAGAGTATCTATATGTCTGTTCAGCTGGAGGATTTGAGAATTCATATTATGATACTGGGCCTGAAATGTGATCAGCTAGGGCCATGTGATTTTACTGGGATGCTCCCGGTGTAATCGAAAGATGCCGTACTGTATTCCATCTTTTCTTTTGGAGGTTTGGGGGTGGTTGGGGGAAGGGGAAGGGGAAAGGATGGAATAAGTAGTGAAAATCCAGGAACAGGTTACAAATCAAAATGGCAAACAGATGTACTTCTTGCAATTTGCCATGAATGAGGAATAGATAATAGAGACGGTCATGAACCTCAGTTCAGACATTCATGTTGGTTCGTACAGGAGGTACGCAGGTACTGTATATTTCCTTCCACCACCTCCCCAGATAATGACCCACTCACTAATCAGAGCATGCTCCTCACCTCCTTTTCTTCAGCTGTTCAACCAGTCCCCAGCAGGAGCATGGGTTTGTCTGTCCTTGTCTGAGTGGGTGATCAGCCAAGGAGGTGGGGCAGGGAAGCCCATGCTCCTGCTGAAGTCTGGTTGGACAGCCAAAGAAAAGGAGGAGAGGAGTGCATGCTGGCAGGTGAGTGGGAGATCCAACTGGGGGGGGGACCTGCAGCACCTGAGATTCCACATCATGTTGGTTCGTACAGGAGGTACGCAGGTACTGTATATTTCCTTCCACCACCTCCCCAGATAATGACCCACTCACTAATCAGAGCATGCTCCTCACCTCCTTTTCTTCGGCTGTTCAACCAGTCCCCAGCAGGAGCATGGGTTTGTCTGTCCTTGTCTGAGTGGGTGATCAGCCAAGGAGGTGGAGCAGGGAAGCCCATGCTCCCGCCAGAGAGTGGTTGAACAGCCAAAGAAAAGGAGGAGAGGATTTTCCAGGTTGAGAATACTCAATCCCAATCTCTGGCTCTACAGTCAGATACCTAAACCACCAAGCTATCCAGCCAGCGTGGATGAGGGACACTCACTGTTTCAAAGAAAAGGTGCAAGCAAGCTGGAATAACTTTGTTCCTGGGAGATCTCTGGCTCCACAGTAAGATACCTAAACCACCGAGCTAAACCAACCAGCCAGCGTGGATGAGGAACACTCACTGTTTCAAAGAAAAGGTGCAAGCAAGCTGGAATAACTTTGTTCCTGGGAGATTATCAGTTTTGAAATCATACAGAACTCTTTGATGAAAAGGAATTATAATCATTTCCTTTGCCTAGATATAGCAGAATGGGTTAAAAATATAATTTTTAAAGGCATCTCCCCATGAAAATAGCCCGATCTTGTCAAGTTTCACTCCATTTGTCCAAATATCTTTGCTATAATACATTGTTCCTCTGAGGAAGGACCCACCTCAAGGCAGAACTTTCTCTGCCAGGATTAAATTAGATGGGCAAAGGGAATGTATAATTATTCCAATTAATCCCCTTCCCCTTTCATAAAGGGATTTCCCCACAGAAGCATGCTTCAGCAATCCGATATGCAAATTAATCCCATGTTTACCTCCCAATAGCCAACCATGAAACAAAGCCTTCCTCAATGTGTAGGTGAGGAAAATATCTTGCCTATGAAAGACTTGTTTTCACCACTTGAGGGAGCACCTTGATGTTGAACATCTGTAAGCTTATTTTGACTCCTTCTGCCTTTGCTGCTTCTCACCCGAAAATATCTGTAGGCAGAGATGATTTCCACAATAGTCTTCCGAAAGCCTCGGAGTGTTAGGTTTTTCATTAAGTGGACACCTTTCTTGGAATCTGAATCCCATGTTTACCCTTCTGAACCCAAAAGCGTGGGGATGAGAATGGTACACGGTGTAAGAGGTAACACTGTCACAATCTCCTCTTAAAAATAAAGGCCTCTATGTCGCACTAGGGACATTCCCAGTGTTCAGAACATTAGTTTACATGGGGTTATTCTATTTCAAGGAGAGCTGTAGCTGCATGAATTCCTGGGAGGGCTGTCATAAGTTTTGTCGTATATGAAAAGCCTTTTGCACAAAGCCAGGGAGACTGTTTTAAAGCAAACAAGTTACTGGCTGGACGGTTTGATTTCATTCTCAAAGTTTTTATTTTCACAAATGCCATAAATCACGCTGGCAAGGAATAGGGCTAGCAATTTTTTTTTCCATCTTGATATTTTACCGAAGGTGGAAGGGGAGCAGTCCGATGGAAACCCGGAAACCCAGCCCATCGAAAGGAACATGCAGAGCCAAACCGAAGCCATTTACAGGAAAGATTTTTTTTTACAGAGCAAATAGTACAAAATACACCGTTTTTCACAGAAAAAAAAGCAAATATACAAAAACGGCAGACTGTCGCTGCCCAGAGATCAAATCTATGCAGTTCCATGTGTGAGACTAAAAGACAGAAAATACATCCTTAGAAGGGAAAGGCTATTCCTGGTTCTGATAGTTTCGTGCTTGAATGCACCCACTAGAATATTGTTTTTAATAGAATGACAATGGCCATGCACATTTTCCCCATCTGTTCCTTTCCCAGAGACCGTGGCAAAGCCAAAAGGTTCCACTATTTTATAATTATTTCTATTGCATTTGGGTTGCTAGCTGGGGCACTCACAGTCAGATCTGGATATATTATTGATGAAGGAACGCTGCGAAAACAATGGTCCCCAACCATGAGTCCCCAGATGGGACTAAAATTCCCAGAAAACCTTCACCAGTAATTGTACTGGCCAGGATTTCTGGGAGTTGTAGTCCAAGAACACCTGAGGATGTGAGGTTGGGAAGCACTGCACTAAAAGATCCAATACAGACTTGTACCCAAGACAGTTTGGAGTCTGTTCTAATATGGAGCATGATTCTGCCTTTAAAGGCCTTTCGGCCTCGGTATAAAGCCATGACAGCATCGCCATGCGCAGGCGCATGGAGTCCTTGCTCTAGCCAGTTTGCAACTGAACTCCCCTCTGTCCCCTTGTCAGCTCTGATCAACAGCATGGAAGAGGGAATGGGAAGTTCTTCCATCCCTTTATATCAGTGGTTCTCAACCTGACGTCCCCAGATGTTCTTGGACTACAACTCCCAAAAATCCTGGCCAGCACAGCGAGTGGCGAAAACTTTGGGGAGTTTTAGCCCAAAAACATCTAGGGAAGCAAAGGTTGGAAACCACTGTCTTATACGATTGCTGATCAGAGGCCACAGAGCCATGCATATGATGATTACATCATTGCCTCACCCCAGGTCTCAATATTTCCAAACCACTGGAGATAATTGATCAAATCATTTTGGATGGTTCCTTGAGTGTATAGCTAAGGGAGAGGGATCCCCAACCCAAATCAACACCAAAGCCCATCTGATTTGTTTGCAGTGTGTGCTTCCTTGTGTTGATGACATTCAACAGACTGGAATTACATGTTCCACATACACCATTCAGATGTGGCTTGAGATCTTGGTTTGATATGTAAATACAATATAACCAGATCTGCATAAGAGAAACAAGCAAGTTTTGGGGACCTCGGTCATAGATGTCATTTTAAAGGGTGGAAATATTACAACATTCTTAACCTCTAAACCCTAGAATAACTGTATGGATGTTGGAGTGCATCTACACTACCCAGTTATTGCAGCTTGATAGCACTTTAACCATCCTGACTGCATCCTACATAATCCTGGGGCTTAGGATTCGTGCTGGAGAACTTTGGGCTCCTGAACTACAGCCCATAATCCTATTGACATCAACAAACTTCAAATCCCAGCATTCTTTAGCACAGGGCCCTGGCAGCTAAAGTGCTATCAAACTGCCATCACTCTACAGGCTAGCACCATTCATAATGAAAACATTTCCATGTAATATGTGTGTATGTTTTGAGTACAAAAAAAAACCCAGACCAGCTTTAGTAGCTTTGTATAATTATATATGTTGCAGTTAATCCCGATGCACTTATTTAAAATAAAGCCTCTCGTCTGTACAAACAGGAAAGCCGAAGTGAAACGCCCTTAACGTTTCTGAGGAAAAGAAAGATCAGCTTTCAGTGACCACTGCTTAGCTGAGATATGATCAGCTCTGCTGAATACAATAAATTGCATTTAATTGTAAATAACACCATGCCATCAAATGTACTGTGGATGAAAATGTGCCTAGGCAGGGGTCTCATTTTCTTCTTGTTAACAACATCCCCTACCGTCTTAATGTCCTGTAATTGTTTGGCCAGCAAACTCGACTATTTTGCCATTTTTGTTTAAGATCTATTCCTAGTTTCCAGAATGGTTGCTGTTTCACAAAGGTTCCTTCTCTTTCATCAACTTCATACACTTTTTCCAGGTCTACAGAACCTCTGCACTGAGGGTGTCAAGACAGCACTTAAATCTGTCCGGCTAACAATGAAGCCAAGAGCCACCAGAATGACCTGGATTCTCTCCTCAAACACAGAAGATATTTCTAAAACATGGAGGTGGTACAGTTTTCCTAAGGAGCAGCCTTGAAGTTGGAGAAGTACGAAACACACTCTTTGAGCAATCAAAGCAGCGCATCTGGTGGAGGAGAAGTGTTGTAGACCTGCAACTTTGGCTAAATGACCTAAACATTTGAATGTAAATAATAATAATAATAATTAAAAAAACACTGAGTGGGATGTGGAGAGTTAAATCCGAACTTGAGTCTTGTGGCCATCTTTGTCCTCCTTTCAAGAGTTTTGGCTATTTGGACCTCGTCAGGTATTGGCCAAGATGAACACCATCATCTGTAAGTTCTCCTTAGGTACAGTGCAGTATGGGCCTCCCGGCAGAAAGGTTTCCTTGGCTTGGAAGCTTATTGCTTTACGGCAAAGATTCGGAAGGCTTTCCCGCCTCGCGGGGTCTTTAAGCTGGAAAGAGAGAATCAAAATTAAGTCAAAGTGAAGAAAAACCTAAGAGCATAAACACTGTTTTCTGTTTTGATCTACCTGGAAGACAAAGGGAGAAGAATAAGCAGAAGCAAAGGCTGCATGAGCATGATATAGAGCAGAGGTTCCCAAAGGCTTTCCCGCCTCGCGGGGTCTTTAAGCTGGAAAGAGAGAATCAAAATTAAGTCAAAATGAAGAAAAACCTAAGAGCATAAATGCTGTTTTCTGTTTTGATATTAATGGAGAGGGAAAGGTAATCCAGCTGTTCTTGGACTGCAATTCCCAGAAGCTTTCATGATCAGCCATGCTGCCTAGGGTTTCTGGGAGTTATCATCCAAGAACACCTGGGTTACCCAAAGTTGGGATCTATTAATGGAGAGGGAAACACAAGAAAAAGGACAAGAGTTAGGAAAGAGGGGGGAAAGAAAGAATAGAGACAATGAGAAACTACTGGGTTATCACAAGGATCTAAAAATTCCTAATCTGCATGAAGCTGGTATTTCTGTAAAGGACCAATATGCCACAACATATCCTCCATGAATCTGTCTAACCCTGCAAGCCGCATAGTGCAGAGGTTAAACTGCAGTGCTGCAGTCAAGCTTCTGCTCTTGACCTGAATTCGATTCTGCTGGGTTCAGGTTGATGGCTCAGGGTTGACTCAGCCTTCCAGTGTTAGTAAAATGAATACCCAGCTTAAGTGGTAGGCAATGTGTCGTTTGCAAAATTATGTTGTAAACCACCCAGACAGTGTTCTAGCACTATAGAGTGGTATATAAATCAACATTACAACTGGTACAACAATGTGCGATCAGGGGGGAAAAAATCAGCTGGAAATTCTGTATGCCTCCCATTCCTCCAAACCAAAGGATTTCATAGCACAATAATTCCCTCCCCCAATGCTCCAATTTTTCTCCCCCACCTTGACGTTCCTCTTGCCGTTCCCTTTTCTCTGCAGCAAAGTAAAAACAAACAAGTCCAAAAGGGCCTCGGAACATCTGCAATCCACTGTAGGCCTGAAATCGGGCTATTCTCCCAAGAGTTTTTGTGCCAGCTATCTTGGGATATTTCCAGCAGCCTTTCTTCCCTGGGAAAGGACGCAGGGAAGTCTCATGGAGGAGTGGGAAGAAAAGAAGCAAAGCACAGCCCAAGGAGACCTTTTCCCACGAGCTCCTTTGGGACTTGGGGCCGAGGTGCCGGTCCCAAATCTACAGAAGGAACATGAAGGTCCCCAAACACAGCCAGCTTGGTGGACAGTATCCTGAAATGACCAATGCCCTGTGTGTTACTATCGAAAGAAAGTCACATCCAGATTCTGAAATGACATTATCGACAGCATGGGAGCAAAGGGAGCAAGGATAGAGATATTGCGCTTGGCCTTGTAAATACACCTGTAGTTCACCGGCTGCTTCAAAACAGACTTATACAGCCGTACACAAAGAGATAACCCTGGAGCTGTATGACCCATCCCACAACAGGGCAGAAATGACAAATGGTCAGGTTCCGGAGAATTTACCAAATGGAACAGCTGAGGAGGGTTTGGCCAACTCTAGGGTAGGATTCCTGAGAAGGAAATCCTCATTATGAGGGCAAAGGCGTCCTCTGGATTCCACAGAACTGCCACCATTGCAGAAGGAAATACAGTTGCGAAATATTGCACAACCCTGAGGTGATGGATGGATGGTTTTTCTAACCATTAGCTGGTCACATTAACTCTCTTCTCAGATAAGGCAGGAAGAGGGATCATTTCCCAGTAAAGCCATTATTTCATTCTTCAACCCATTACCCTTTAGAGGCGTTGGACTCCAATGGCCCTAATCCCAGGGCCCAGTATTTTACAGGTTAGGGTCTAACACACTTGCAGGGCACCAGATTTGGAAAGTCGCCCCAGCCTACATCTTCCCCGGCTTCATCGTTGTTAATAAACCGCTTTCAGTCACCCTTGTAGGGTACCGTTTAATGGAGTGAATTGAGAATTTATGAAACCCTCTGTTACAAAACGTGCGGATTAGCCATCAGTCGAAATGTCTTAAACCGTGGATTAGGACCCTCTGAGCGCCATCTGTGGGGATCAAGTACAGTGGTGCCTCGCTTAACGATTGCCCTGCATTACAACGAATCCGCTTTACGATGATCTTTTTGCGATCGCAATTGTGATCGCAAAACGATGGGCTAAATGGGGGAATTTCGCTTAGCGATGATCGGTTCCCTGCTTCAGGAAATAATTTTTGCTTTACGATGATCAGAAACAGCTGATCATCAGGTTTTCAAAATGGCCATCGGGTGCTTAAAATGGCTCCCTGGTGTGCTTAGGGACAGATTCCTCGCTATACAGGCAGCGAAAATGGCCGCCGTATGGAGGATCTTCGCTGGACAGTGAGTTTTTACCCCTTTGGAATGCATTGAACGGGGTTCAATGCATTTCAATGGGGTTTTTATTTTCACTTTACGATGTTTTTGCTTAACAGCAATTTTCCTGGAATCGATTATCATCATTAAGCGAGGCACCACTGTACAGGAAAGGCTTTTTGCACTCATGTCCTGCTTCTGGGGTTTCCCCAGGTATCTACTCAGCCACTAGGGGCAGGAGAGCCACGACCCCGATCAAGGAATGGAACCCATGAGGTCCCAGGCCAAATATCTCCTTCTTAAAGAGGCAATCTGATCCACCGGATTGCCGCAGGATTTTCCCACCTGATCGCATCTTCTCCCCCATCGCAGCATCATTGAATGACTTCCCAGTTTTTGTACAGATCCTGGCAGGAAGAGTTTTAAGCCAAAAAACACACGGTGGCCACCATCTGGCCCTCATGGCAGCTGGAATGGAAGCCCAAGAATCTCTCGGAATTTCAACAAAGGCTGAAAGAAGTTCCCCAGATCTTAAATGAGATGGACCTTTGCCCTGATCCTTCGGGGCTCTTACATTTCTTCATGGCGAGACATGGAGAACAACCAAAGAGCCCCCCCCAAAAGGGTCGTCCATAGAAAAGAGAGGCTGCCCTTACCTTTCGGATCGGATTCCATTCTTCAAGGAGCCACTGTAGTATTTCTTCTTGTCCACAGGCATGACATCTATGTAGCCGCCCTCCTGGTTCCCAATGACCCCAGCATGCACTGCAGCTTTGCAGATACTGGAATTCTGGGGGTGGGGTGGGCAAAAAAAAGGAGAATAATTGATATAAGAGAGGAACACAGAAGCTCCCTGGCATAAGGAGTCCCATTTCTTTATTTCTTTGAGGTTTTCAGTAAAGAAACAAACCACACTCCTAATTCTGTCATTCTGGTTTTCAGTAAAGAAACAAACCACACTCCTAACTCTGTCATTCCAGACTCCTGGTAAAAAAGACAATAATGTTGGAAAAAGTTGAAGACAGCAGGAGAAGAGGAAATGAGATGCTTTAGGTCAATAAAAGAAGTCCCAGCTTTGGGTTTGTAAGACTTGGACATAGCAAGACCTTTAGGAGGCCACTTAGAAGGTCAGAAGTGACTTGACGGCACACAAAAAGAGCAGGAAATTCAAAACCAATACCATCACCAGGCCCTAAGCCTAAGTGTTTATGTGTGTGTTGTGCGTATATGTGTGTGTATATATGTATGTACACATAGTAGGACTCCCCTTCTCTATGGCATCAGTATCCACAGATTCACTTACCCACTGGCTGAAAATACTAAACAAAAAACCTCAGGAACACCTACTTATATGCCAGAACTGTATTTGCCAGAACAGGCCACTAGAAGGAACTAGAGACCACGCAATATGTCATGTTTGATACATCCACATTTTTCATCAGCCAAAGGGTCGGGGGGGCTTGGAACCGACTCCCTGCAAATACCATGGTCCTACTCCACATTCTCCAATTTGTTTGTCCCAGTTTATTCTAGCTTGAACGAAAAGTTACTAAAAAAATCAAGTCAAGCCGTGAAAGGACAGATCAATCCTTGCCGGATGGCTGTATCCCCGAGCTATTCAAGAAATACGTAATACCACCAAAGCTGCGAAAAAACTCAATCTTGCAAGATCCTCGAGGATTGATAGATGTCTAGCAGCAGAGGATCAAAGAAAAATCACAGTTCAGTCCCTGCCAGTGACTTCCGACAAGGAGCTCCTGCATTTCCACTTTTGTGTCTTTACAATTCTGAGCGTACAGGAAGTCACAAAAATAAAGGAATGTATGCCACTTACATATAGTATAGATAAGCCGCACAGACATACACACACCTTGAAGGTCAAGCCCTCCATCCTTCCCCCACCTGAGCCATAAAAGGCAGGTCCTTTTTTTTTTGCCTCCCACCCCCCCGCCATTTATCATGGCCTCTGGGTGCTGGCAGCTTTGGCCACGTTTCAGCTGCCAGTCGGAGGTCTGGTTTCTATATATGGTCAAGGAGAGCGAAGGAACACTGTTAAAACAGATATGCTTTGACTTCGCCCCAGTGCACAGTCCCAAAGAATCTCAGAATTGGCTCGTAAAAATCTCCCTGCCCTGAAGGGACTTGAACGGGCTATCCCATAATACTCCATCGACCAGGAAGTCTTGCTCTCCAACATTCTTTGGGGAAAAAAAAGGATTACTTCTGCTCCGTTCCTTGCAAAAAGCGTCCTCGGAAAAGCCAACACACACATACATGCATGCACGCACACACGGCCTCTAGTGTTACTCTGTGTTTTGTCTTGACCCCTTACTTGCTCTTCTTCTCCAGAAGATCTTTCTTATCTTTGCTAACAATTTCAGAAGATGACCATTGCAGGAGAAGAAGGAATTTTATCCCCTCCTTTCATTAAAAACACCAAGAGACTGCCAAACAGCTGTTTTTTTTTTCTCCCCTCCTTCCATGATCAGATTTTGGCTTGCTTTTTTGAATGTCTAGCCAAGAATGTGGGACGGGACCACAAAAACATAAGCATAGTTCTGAGAAATCTAGTGTAGCAGTAAAGCAGGAAGGCCTGAGTTCAAATCTTGCTTTAGCAACAGATTTACCATGTCTTCTTAATGTTTATTTTTAAGGCAGAAACAGACATTATAGATGGCCGGTGATTAGAGTGGAAAGCACACTTATTCTGATAACTTCAGGCAGAATTTTGTGTTTGAGGAATTAGATTGAAAAGGAATCCCATGCTTTTGTTTTGAAGACCAAACACAAAATGAAGCAAACCGTTTCAAATTACACAAGGAGAGAAAAATGACTGCTGCGCACTCTGACTCTTTCAGCAGTTAAGGAATTCTCTTTTTGAATCATGGATCATCTATATTGTCCAGTTTTCCCCTTTAGGCTCCCCCTTTAAAATACTTGCTTGGGATAGCTAGAAAAGAAGTTAGGGGCCTTTACTTTTAGCTATTGTGATTAAAATTGCAACTACCTTGGCTGAAATTATTTCTGCCACATAACTATTCTCACCATTAGGCGTATTGCTATTCTTTACATGCTCATCCTACTTTCCCACAGAGGAACAGCGCTCCAAGCTGCTTACAAACACCATTTAAAACAGATTGAAAACAAGTTAAGACAAATTAAACTATGAAACAGTTACACTACCAGAACAATCAAACAATTATCATCTATGCAGTGTTCAGCAGACACTGGAAGAATGTAAATGGCTTCTTTGGTGAGATGTGATTTCGCTGTTCTTCTGAAAAGCTGTGGAAGCATGAAGGTGTGGAAGCAGAAGTGGACCGATGGTCCGAAGACACCATTTCCCAGAGGGAGAGGCCGGGAGGGCAACGCGAGGTCAGGGAAGGCTTTGCAGCAGCAATAACCGTAGAGTTCTGATTTTAAAGGAAGTCACAAGTGTAAATGGCTTCTTTGGTGAGATGTGATTTCGCTGTTCTTCTGAAAAGCTGTGGAAGCATGAAGGTGTGGAAGCAGAAGTGGACCGATGGTCCGAAGACACCATTTCCCAGAGGGAGAGGCCGGGAGGGCAACGCGAGGTCAGGGAAGGCTTTGCAGCAGCAATAACCGTAGAGTTCTGATTTTAAAGGAAGTCACAAGCAACATGTGGAATGTAAATGGCTTCTTTGGTGAGATGTGTGTGGACTCCATGGGGGGGGCGCTTACAATGGCAGCCGTTGACACCACCCTTCCCAAAGATCAAAGTTTCTCCCTTTGGGGTTTGCAGCATGACCCCGGGGTTTCCATTGGTGATTAAAATTAAAAAGTAAAACAAGCGAGCCTCAGCTTGCAAGCTTCCGCTGGCAGGAAATCTTAACCCTGGTTAATTACCTAACAAAGGAGAAGCTGACAACAGGAGCGGGAGCTGTTTTCCATCTTTCCACAGCAAAAATTCTCACACACACTTCATCCATTTTCCAGAATAGGGGTGGGGCGGGAGCAAAGGGGAGACCATCTTTCCACAGCAAAAATTCTCACACACACTTCATCCATTTTCCAGAATGGGGAATAGGGATGGGGCAGGAGCAAAGGGGAGCTCTCGTCTCTCCCCACATGCCCCAATACCACCTGTGACCCACCCACACACACACAAAGCCATTGTCCAGAGATGGGTCTCCTTTGTAGATCTTCTCCCCTGGATGTTCATTTACACCAACAAGAGCTTTCCTTATTGTCATGCCTTACAAATTATCTTCTTTTTTTCTTCTGATTGACCTTCAGGAGGTAACATGTGCTGCTTCCTGACACAGAGCGTTGAATAAACAGTTTCCATGGCCAAGGTAGGAATTGAACTCGTGTCTCCTGAGTCCTAGTTAGGCATGATTCGTATTCATATCCCTGGAGATAAAAATACAAATAGTGGCACCAAAGGTGCCACCGAGGTCTATTCTCTCCCGTCAGAACCACTCAGTCCACTCACCAGTCACCACGCAGTGCTGGGGTCCTTCATCATCGTGGTCACGTCAATCATGAAAGAAGCCCAGCTGCCTTTTCCCCACCTCCCCATGCAACTGGCGACTCTGGCAAGGAGGTGAGACTCCCCACTCAGCTGATGAGCGGTCGGCTGCTCGGGGAGGTAGGGAAGAGCCAGCCAGGATCCTTCTGCAATTGACATGATGACAAAGGACCCCAGCACTGTGAAGTGGTTAGTGAGTGGACCGGGCAGTTCTGGGGGGAGGGAATGGGCCTCCGTGGCAACTGTGGTGCCAATATTTGTATTCGTACCCCTAGGGATATGAATACGAACAGCCCATGTCTAATCTTAGTCCGCCACTCTATCTGTCTCCATCACTGACCTCTGTGGCAACTGTGGTGCCAATATTTGTATTCGTACCCCTAGGGATATGAATACGAACAGCCCATGTCTAATCTTAGTCCGCCACTCTGTCTCCATCACTCTAGTACACCACAATGTTTCTCCAATATCTTGACTATGTACACTTCTACACAGTCTGTCCCCCAATGAGTTCAAGGTTCTAATCCTCTCCTTTTTATCCTCACAACAGCTCTGTGAGAAAAGCATGAATAGCTGAAAGCCAGCCACTAATTTCCATGGCCTCATGGGCATTAGAATCCCTCTAATCCAGTGGTGTCGAACTGTGGCCCTCCAGATGTTCTTGGCCTTCAACTCCCAGAAATCCTGGCCAGCAGAGGTGGTGGTGAAGGCTTCTGGGAGTTGAAGTCCAAGAACATCTGGAGGGCCACAGTTCGACACCACTGCTCTAATCCAACACTAGCCACTAGAGATGGGCACAAACCACTGGTCTGGTGGTTCGAGCATGAATAGCTGAAAGCCAGCCACTAATCTCCATGGCCTCATGGGCATTAGAATCCCACTAATCCAACGCTAGCCACTAGAGATGGGCACAAGCCACTGGTCTGGTGGTTCATGCCAGTTCAGCTGTTGGCCCAAAAGGTGTTCCACATTTCCGAGCCCCACCTCCTCTGGCAGCCACCCACTCAGAGGCAGCACTTAGAGGAGGCAGGGCAGGGAAACTAGAACTCAACCTCCAAGTGGGCGCCTGCTGGAGGAGGTGGGCTCAGAACCATGGAACATCTGTTGGGCCAACAGTTAAACAAGAAGGAACCATCAAACTAGCTTTTCGTGCCCATCTCTCTGTAGCCACTAGCCACAGTGGCATGTGCATATGACCTTATTTAAGAAATCAAGCTTTTACCCTTTAAGCTATGCCCCAGCCACTACACCTCAGCCTTAAGTCTGCTCAGTCTCTAGATTTCCCTCTCTTTGATGGGGTGGGCCTGCATCCTCTTTTAGAGAGGGCACCACTCCGTTTGAAGCAAACTTCTCATTTAAAGATGAAAAACCGTAACAAAGAAGAACAGGGTTCTTGAAGAAGAGGGTCCCTTTGGAACGCCTGTAGAGCAGACCAAGTATGCAGATCACTTGGTCCTTCCCAATGTGATGACATGCACGGTGTTTCTATTTAAACTATAGTAATCATTTCAAAATAGTTATCTGTCCAAAAAAACGTGCAATTTTTATGCAATTTCTTGCTCTTTTTCTCTCTGTTTTGGGTGACCCACAAGCATGCACCACTCCTCTCAGAGAGAGAGAGACAGAGAGAGAGAGAGAGAGCATGTACAGACTTCTAAACTCTGTTTGTCCTTCTTTTGGATTTAAACGATTCCTTATCGAATGGAAAACCCAGCCGGATAAGATCTCTAGCCCATGGAGAAGGCAGGTTGCAATGTATTTCAACAGAGCATTCTTTCCTTACTCCTCACTTCGCTCTATTTTGGAAACCACCGACGGCCATGCCTTACTCCCTGTGGAGATGCAAACCAAATCTCCACCACTGGAAACAACTATTATACAGACTTCTGATCATCTGGCTTTGATGATAAGGTTGGGCCCCCATTTGACTCTTTTCTCCCTCAGGTCATGCAAGCTTTCCCAGTGTCTTGGAGCACTGCTCTGGCATGTTTGCGGTCTCATTATTTTCCCATCGGGCTCTTCAGTGCGCTTCCAAAACTACCGTGACCTGATGTTCTTGCAAACAAACCTTCCACACAGAGCAAACTAAAATAGCATTGCTTATTTTTGCGGGGGAGAGACAGCAAGCTTTTTTTTTTTCCCCTAGAAGTCCTCCAGGCCAGAAAGAATGCTACTTGTTCCCTACGGATGCAAGGACAGTAAAGTTGTTACATATCCATCCCCCAGCCAAAAATAAAAAAGCCATCCTCTTTAATTCCATATCCATCCCCCAGCCAAAAATAAAAAAAAAAGCCATCCTCTAATTCATAATAATAATAATAATAATAAACATATGTCATCAGTCCGTTCTGACTTATGGTGACCTTTTTCAGGGTTTTACAGGCAGAGAATACTCAGAAAGGAGCATTGTTAGCTTTAAATTCCACCTTTTAATGATGTAAGCCACCTTGGGTCCTTTTAAAATGCTGAAAAATATTTTAAATAAATAAATTATGTATTATTGTGATGTTTATGTTTTCTATTGTTTTTTTTTCCTGCAGGAAGGTTATAAAATGTTAGGAAGGGGAAGGAAGGAAGGAAGGAAGGAAGGAAGGAAGGAAGGCAGGCAGGCAGGCAGGCAGGCAGGCAGGCAGGCAGGCAGGCAGGCGCTGATGACAGCAACTGTATTTTCACTGTACAGCCCCTTTTGCCAAGTAGGAAGGGAAGAGGATTACTCACATCTGCGTAAACATTAGTGCCATAGACCGGGGCCCAGTAGGATGGCTCATCCTTGCAATATGCTGGACAGTAAGACCTAGAAAGCAAAGAATATTTTGGGTTGTGGTTTTTTTTTTTTTTTTGGCATTACAGCCCACGGACCCTCCCTATTTGTGAATGGTCCATAATTAGGAACACATCCTTCCTGGATTAGATCAAGAGTCAGTAGCAATTTTGAAAGTAGTTTAACACTGAACGGCCACAGAACGATCAAACTGGGAGCAGAAAGCACATCTGTTCCAGGAACTACTGTTAGACAATGAGAGTCAGGAAGTGGCTCAGCCAGTCTTGTGAATACTCAAGGTCTGTTCCTTCATTGGGGATCTCCATTGATATGAAGAATACTAGCCAAGCAGGAACTGTGGCTCCTTCATTGTCTCTTTGTTCTCACCTCAAAAAATAAAAAAAATAAAAAAAAATCACCAGCTAAGGGTAGCAGCCATTGACTCTAATCCAGCAGGCTGATGTCACACCATTTCAAGTGGGGGCCCTGCAGGGGAAAATCCAAGATGATTCTTATCCACATAGGAGAATAAAAACCCACAACTCACCTTGGGCAATGAGTGGCTGGCTTCCTGAACTGGCACAGCTCTTCCACTGTGGTGTAACAGTCCAGAGTCTGCACTGTGGGGACAAATTGAGAAGTGTAAACTGTGAAGCCATTATTTCAAGACATGCATGCATTTAACAGGGGTGATGCCAGGTCTATCTATCAGCTAGACACAGTGTCTTCTGTTGAAGCTTTTACAATCTCGCATGCTGCCTGCAGTAGGTCTTGCTGGGAGGAACCTTTCTGGCCTGAGATGACCGTAATCTCTCCAGCACTAACCAATCATTCCTGCCTCTGTATGCCTGTCTCAAAGAGGTGGGGCTGTCTCTCTGCTCTGTGTTCTTTGCCCTCTCTTCAATCAGTTGAAGTCAATTGGTATCTTTTAGTTTGTTGCTAATCTGCTCACTACTCTTAAGTAATGAAACATTTTATTCTTTCTCCTACAAATGTCTCAGAGTGACTTAGGTGGCAGTTAATAAGAACTCTGAGGAAAATGTTGCTATCATCCTCAGTGAGTCTCTATTCTTTTGCTGTGTAGCTAAAACATTTTTTTGCAGAGATTCAAAACTCTGCAACATCATTTTGATCTATGCATTGATCCATGTCCTGCTTTCAACCACTATTTCAACTTCCTGCTATGCCCCAGAATGATGCTGGATTGGGAGCATCTACACACTAGATGAGGACATTTTAAAAGGGGCTAGACGGTGTACGTGGGAGGTCAGGATCGAAAACTGAAGAGCATCCAGGAAATCTCATTGCAGGGTACTCTAGCTTTTGCCCAAGGCTCACAAATGTAGAGCTTGGAAAAGTTACTTTTTTGTACTACATCATCCAGACAACAACAACAAAAATATAACTTTCTAAGCTCTGGCTGAAGATGGACGCTCGTCTTGCGTGTCCATTCCAAAAATGCAGCATTCTCTTCAGACAATTTTGGACAAGACAGATATAGCAAGTATATATTTTTTTTTAATTCCCAAAGATCTTCTAAATGGTAAAATATCTTTTTGTCCAAAGAAGAGGGTGGGGGAGAGAAAACCAAAAGCCTTTTGAGGTGGCCCCATTTTTTTATCTGCCTGTGTCCTTTGCATAGCCTTTCCTGGCAGGTTTTAAATCAAACCCTAATTTTCAAAGGCTCTTGATGGCATCACTTCTGAAATGCTGCGCCTTTACTTTTTAATGCCTTTGTTCCAGCAAAGAGAACGTCTGGCAGAAGACCTGTGTTTTGCCTGGATCGCAGCTGAAACTGCATGGGCAGTCTCGAGACAATGTCCAGCCTGTTTTATCCCTTCTTGGCTCTCCTTCCAGTTATAAACACTGCTGTCTCTTTTGCAAGCATACAAACAAGACAAACATCACAAAGGATAAAGGTTGTGGATGGGGAAAAACAACAACAGGAAGCTCATGTTTTTTTGGGGGGGACAACAGGATGAAATCAAACTAAATGGGAAGGACACGTTTCAGATGGATTTAAATGGAAAAGATTGAGGCATGTTTAGAGAGCAATATACTTGGAAGAAATTAAGGGTTCAACTTGCAAATTTTATATTAAATGAAAAGCAGTGATGAACTTTTACTGGGTGCAGTTCTGCAAATAAACTAAAACAGCTTTATGAGAACTTACCAGCTTTTCAGACTAGGACAAAGATATAATTAATATGTTAATATTTACATGTTTTATACCTTACAGTTTGTGATGTTTTATATTAAAAAAGTAATTCTGTTAAAATTGCTATATTTTTGTCAAAATTGCTGTATTTTTACAAAACTGTGAAGTGCTAAAGAAACAGTTGCATTTTAAATTCTGTTGTGTTTAAAATATGCCTTTGTTGTTGGCAAAGTCCATGTGTTCTTGACAGTGCATCACTCACAACGTTATATGAATAAGCCTTCAAAGGAGGTTTGGAAAACACATTGGCCTACGCTTGCCCTTAGTGCATAAGCGTATTGCTGCTTCTGGGATTTTTTGGGCATCGGGGTGGAGGAGATTACCCCTTCCTTCCTTCCTCTAGTGTCAAGATAAGGAACCTTTGTTCATAGCCCGGAGGCCACGTATGACATTATGTTCTCATGCTGAACCTTCCAGAGAATGGGTGCTGAGGTCGTAAAAGAGCGAAAGCCAACAGCAGATACAGCTAAGCCATGTTCTCTGTTCCCTCTTTTCTGTCTTCTTCCTTCTCTTGCCCTCTACCTTCACTTTTCCCTCTATATATTTTCTCGCCCCTGCATTCTGTTTAAGTTTATTTATTTATTTATTTATTTTAATTTATTTTTCTCCCCACTTTCTTCCAGAGCTGTGACCCAAAGCCAGCTCACAACACATTTAAAGCAAATACAACATGATCCACAGGTTTATCAAGTTTGTGTACGATTAAGCGGTCACAAGGAAACCCTAATGAATTCAAGCAGAGTGTGCTGCTTATATATCACACCATAGTGTTTAAAGCACTCTCTACGCAGTTTGCAATTTAGTGATGCAGGCTACAGCTTGTCGCCACCCTCCCCAGTGATTTCCCAACCTCGGAAGGTTGAGTCAACCTTGAGCCAGCTACCTCAGCCCACTGGGATCGAACTTAAGTTGTGAGAAGAGTCTTGATTGCAGTAGAGCAGTTTAGCCATTGAATTGTGAGGCAATTGAAAAGCAATGTACAAAAAAAAAAAAGGGACAGCTCCAATGTATTAAAAGCCTAATTTTCAACAGCCCATCAGTTACCCAAAGCTGGCCAGAATTTAAAAAAAAAAAAACCCTTGCCTGGTAGCAGAAGATAACTCCTTGGAAAAGAGCTTCACATCTTGCAAGAAGATTGACTTTCTAAAAGCAGGGGCTGTTCAGCAAGATTGTGAAAGAACAGAAAGCAATCCAAAGACTGTTTCTGTAATTGCCAAGTTCTAACAAGCACCCCTACATTCTTAATCAACCTAAAAAACCCTAAAGTGACTGTTTCCTTCCAGAGCATGGAAAATATGGTAACTCACATAGACAACGTGGCTAATGAGATGTGATAAGTATGAGAAATTCGGGATTCACCCCAGAGCGTCAAGATTTAGAACAAATGGTTCTCAACCTTGGGTCCCCAGATGTTCAATGGACAGCAACTCCCAGAAATCCTGGCCAGCACAGCTAGTGGCGAAGGCTTCTGGGTGTTATAGTCCAAGAATATCTGGGGACCCAAGACTGGAAACCACTGCTTTAGAGGGTGCTAAAATGTAGAGATGAATCAACAGGTGAGTGTTAGGAAAATAAATGGGAACACCTCCTGATCCTATTCACTTTCCCTGTTTTGAAAACACACTTCTTTTATTTGGGAGCAAGGCATCATCTTCTCTTTTTTTCCTGGGAGGGGTACTGCTCAAGATGACTACGGAGTAGGAGATGCTGCAGTCAAGCTTCTTATGTACATCTCTGAATGGCTGGGAAAATATGTGGTTTGTAGCTCAAAAAGTCACTTTTCCAATTCCTGCTTTCTTCTTAATTATAAATTCCCTTTACTGTAAGTTTAAAAAAAAAACTTACCTGTGACTTTTGAAACAGCAAAACCATTGGAAGGCTTGAATTTGCTGTGAAATGAAAAACATATATAGAGGAATTAACACATGGTTT